GCCGTGGGAGGAGGCGGGGCTGGAGTGACGGTGTGTGTGCCCACAGAGAGGGCTCCGAGTGCCACCGCTGGCACCCGGCCCATAGGTTCACCACCACTGCTTTAGACAAAACCTGTAGGATATGATGATTTTAAAGTGGAAAATTAGCTATAGGTGCATCTTACTTGGGAGTATACACTATTTTGTTGCAATCCCCCAAAGTAATTTGTAATAAATCCAATAAAACAAGTAGGTGAGTCAAAGAACATGCCCCCTTTCGTTATAATTATTTCTTTAAGCAAAAAGAAGGGTATTGTTTTGAATAAGTAGCATCAACTATTAAGTGCTTTTGTTCTTGTGGTTGTGTTGTCAAACAGTTCTGATACATTGGCATGTCTGCATATTTGCTCTTCACCTATAGAAATGGTTTCTTAGCAAATTTGGCCACCACTAAAGCTATTGTGATAAAGCTTGGACGCACACTTGTAAATAATATACAGGCAATCCTTGATTTATGACTAGTTGCTTAATGACTGTTCAGAGCTATGGATCCCAAAAAGGCACTTACGACCTAAAATTCAAAATTTTGATTCCCCACCCCTAACCCGCAGTCATGTGATCACATTTGTGATGGTTGAAAACCAGCCTGCGTTTATGGCCATTTACAGCATCCTGTAGTCACAAGACTGCAATTTACTATAATCCCCCCCCCCAAAAAAAACCCCTGTGTTTACTTCCAGTTTCTGGCAAAACCTGTCCTTTGCAGTCAATAGGTTTGTTTAATGATTTTAGCATTCACTTAACGACTGCAGATTTGTTTAACCACTGCAAAAATTGTCTTAAAATCAGATCGGTCACATGATGACCTGCTTAACAACTGGCATGAGTTACAGCTGTAATTTTGAGGTCAGTTATGATTATAAGTCGAGGACTACTTCTATATAGTTTCTGCTATTTATTTCTGTTAAAAACAAAATTGCTTTCTTTTCTAAAATATATTACGTTTTTCCTATAAGGAATAATGTAGTGAGTCACACTGACACTGACAAGTTCTAGCTTGTGCGTCGAGTACTGGGACAAAATGTGTCAAAATGTATTGAGAACCACATTTGATGAATTTCAAAAGCAGTTGAGTACCAAGGTATCACTGTATTCTAAAATGTTCTGTCAACGTGAGCAGCTTACCTATATGAAAGGGGAGATAGCTGCTCAGGGAAAGAGAGATATGTAGCAGTGGGCACAGATCCTCCTGCCCTTATGTGAGTGGAGCCAAAACCACCGGATCCAAACAGACTGCTGCCTTCATAAAGTTCTTTATGTCAAAGTAGACCAGTGGTTCTCAACCTTTTTAATGCCGCTACCCCCAACCGGTCGTAAGTCGAGGACTACTCAACCGGTCATAAGCTGAGGACTAAACTGGTCATAAGTCGAGGACTACCCAACCGGTCGTAAGTCAAGGACTTTCCCTGCCCGGGAGCACCACGCATGCGTGGTGCCGCCCCCTGCGCCGGCCAAGGTGTAGCTGGCAAGCGACAGAGACGGAGCAGGCCGACCACCGGCTGGGCCACCAGCTGGCCTAGCCCAAGGGAGGTAAGGCACCTGCCGGGCCCCACACATGCCAGCAACCCTCCCTGCACCCGCCGGCCTCCCACCTCCCACCCCTGGCCCTCTTTTACTTACATTTTTAGTAGTTGCTCAGCAGGGAGGGATGGAAAGTTCCAGACAGCTCGCCTTCGCTGCAGACAACTTGCAGCACCGTTTGCAGAATGGGACTTTTGGCGGGCTCAGCAGGCAGAGACAGCCTGGACAATTCCTATTGGCTTTTGAAAGCCAATAGAATTAGACCAGTGGTTCTCAACCTGTGGGTCGGGACCCCATTTGGGGTCGAATGACCATTTCACGGGGGTTGCCGAACAACGCAGTCCGCCATTTTTTCCCCCTTTTCCTTAGCTGTGCTACTCCCTTTTATTCTATTGGCTTTTGAAAGCCAATAGAATAGACTCTCTTGAATAGAGTCTAATTCTATTGGCTTTCAAAAGCCAATAGGAATTGTCCAGGCTGTCTCTGCCTGCTGAGCCTGCCAAAAGTCCCATTCTGCAAACGGTGCTGCACCAGTTGAGTAGTCCTCAACTTACGACCGGTTGGGGGTCGCGGCATTAAAAAGGTTGAGAACCACTGAATTAGACTCTATTCAAGAGAGTCTATTCTATTGGCTTTCAAAAGCCAATAGAATAAAAGGGAGTAGAACAGCTAAGGAAAAGGGGGAAAAATGGCGGACAGCCTTGTTTGGCGACCCCCGTGAAATGGTCGTTTGACCCCAAATGGGGTTGCAACCCACAGGTTGAGAACCGCTGAAGTAGACCTTTCTACTTTAAAAACAAAAAACAAAAACCATGCTGGACCCTGATCAAGAGATAAAACTTTAATGATGCAAAATTGGCTACATTCAAGTCAGCTTCCCCCCTTTAACCTCTCACACAATCTCATCAAATTCTCATGGAACCCTATGGTTCTTCAGGATATAATTTGAAAAATCCTACTCTATACAGCTCTTTCTAGGATTTATGCGTATTAGAATCACCATAGTCTATCTGAAACTATGGCTATAGAATTTAGTAGACTCTTGCTGCTTTTGAGTGTTTTCCCCCATTGTAACTGACATGGGTATTTGGTGAACAGAAAATATGTTATTTTCAATATTTATGTAATAGCATGCTTATTTTACTTATGACCATCTGGCTTTCTTTTGAATCAGTTTTTCAAGTTTACAAGCAATTGTATTTTTTTTAATGGATGCTTAGCTGATCATTTAATTAGCTTATTAATCAAGCCTTGCCTAACTAAGTAGCAGCACTTAGCCAACCTGGTTTGATCTGAAAAAGTTAAAAAGGTTGATATTAGCATGGGAGATAATCAGAAAACACTGGGGATGTGGGCTAGACTGGGAAGTGGAAAAAAACACCCCAGGCAAACTATTTGCATATTACTACAAAGGAAATGACATGGTTACATCCATGACATCACTAGCAATTGAGCTGTTATTGTGCTTCATCCCATTATTATATGCTGGCATAATCACATTAATTGTTTACTTATATCTGTGTTTTAATAAACAGTTATAGTATTCAGAGACATTGTACAATACTTCAGAATTAAAAAGAATTCAATAATATTCAATATTTTTTAAATACCTAGTTACATAATATTTTTTTAATGTAGGATGGGCTTTGTAATATAATTGAGCAACTTCAGGTAGTGTATCATTAGTGGATATTGGATATTTGATCATAGCCCTATATAACATTGAGCTCAGTATGTGATCAGTCTTGCCCTCCAATTTTGCGCCTGTGTTGTCACTTCAAAACAAACCTCAGCATATACAACATGGACCTTAGCAGTGAGGTCATCTTCACACTTGGCATTGCACATGTACTGATTTTCATACCAGGTTGGGAGCAGGTTCAAGTTTACAAGGTGTTGATGTTTTTCATGGATGCCAATTTTATGCTCTTAGGTGTTGAAAGCCTTTCTAAATGCAGATGTTTGCATAGGCCTGCTTTAATAAGATACCGCAGCCTTTATGTCAGGAGGCTTATCTCTGCTGATCTTATGACAAAGACTGTGCTTATTTGAAGGAAGTATATTTACATCATATCAGCTTTGCATCAATTGCTGAGGTCACTTTAAAATGTGATGTTAGTATTTTAAATCCTGAACAAATCTCAAAAGCTCTGTTTTCAGGCCCAATATAAATCTGATTTGATTGTGGTTTTCAGGATAACCTTATCAGTTGTGGCTCTACACATGAGGATTCCTTCTGCTGAGAACTGACTTGTCTTGGCGCTCCCTTTTAGATCATTACATTGAGTTAGAATACTGTCCTGTTTTTATTACAATTGTTTTTATACACACGTCTGTCACTAACTTAAACCTTAATGCTTGGCAGTTATATCGAACAAGCAATATATCAGTTGTTTATACATCGTGCTTTTAAAAAGTTATTAATGCTGTAATACAAGTAGCTGATAATGAAGAAAGAGATTAATGTACACTTCAGTAGAATAATCAGAAAGCTGATCTTGTACACAGGTAGCCTGAAACCTGATGGTTTGAACCAAATAGTCATTTGTACCATTGAATTATAACAATACTATGGAAGGAGCCTTGAAACCTTCAATCCTTTCAGTGGTATACCTGACATCTTTCACACCCAGGGTAGATCAGAGAGCTGAGCAGCAGCCATAGGATTCAGGCAGACCTAACCTCACCACTATCAGCCTGCCCTGTAGTATTGTAGCTGCAGTGCCTTGCAGTCAACTGCCAAACCGTTGATTGGCACATAGGAGCACTGACCCAGTTCCATAGCCATCACTGACCCTTTGGATAGCTTCCTCAGACAATGCACCCCTTTATTGCCTTCATCCATCCCACCTTTGATATGCTACTGGATCCTTTCTGGTTAAACAGGGGTGACATGATAGCAGTATTTCAGTATTTGAGGGGCTGCCACAAAGAAGCGGGCATCAAACTATTCTCCAAAGCACCAGAGGGCAGGACAAGAAACAACTGACCAAAGAGAGAAGCAGCCTGGAATTAAGGAGAAACTTCCTAACAGTGAGGACAATTAACCAGTGGAACAGCTTGCCTTCAGAAATTGTGGGTTCTGTTCTGTTCTGTTCTATTCTATTGTAATTTTGTTGTACTTCCTCAATCCAGGTTTTGGTTCAGAAAGACTGACTCAGTGACAGCATTAGGTTCTGTTTTATTTAGAATTGCTCGTGAGAGCAATCACTGAAATACTTCAACGATGCTAACTTGAAAGTTGAATTGGCTTCTACCAGGATTTGAAAATGCTTATTCTTGAAAACTTATTTTATCCACTCCCATGAATTATTTGAAGTAGACTCTATCATTTCTTGTACATGAATAATAATTGCAGGATTTCAAAATATCTATTCTATAGAATCCCTGTAGATTTAAAACTTTTCCCTAATTGCTTTTTTATTTCTCTTCCTCTCCAGGAACCTTCACGATTTATCATGTATAATAGATGCCAACAAGATGAAGGTATTTGAAAAAAATCAAAAGATAAGCAAACCGAGCATTTGCTCTGGACTGATTGTTCATGCCATAGCCCTGATGTTTTATTTCTTAAAAAACAAAACTAACTAACTAACAAGCATGTAATACATTTACTGCATACATTATTTCCTGATTCAGTGCCAGCGCTGATATTCAGTTATTACCTTAGACTTACAATAAGACTTTTGCTTCTGAAGAGTGGCTGTTCTCTGCTCACAAATCAGAAAATAGACTTTAGCAACTGAAGAAGAAATTATAGGTCAACACATTAGTTCTTCATGTATGAACTGATTCAGGATGCTGTATACTTCCAAAGGCTAGCTGCCTTAAATACGTAAGTATTGTGCCTGTGATCTTTGGACTTTGACTTCCAAGCTAACGATGTAGGATCAGATTCTGCTAGATTTACTTTTTACTTAAAACCATAGCAGTTATAAAGCACTTTGTAAAAGATTTATCATGGAAACATGATGCAGAGGCAAGCTTCTAATTTGGCGCCCTCTGCTGCTACTTTTCAGCAAAACAGTTAAAATGTCAAGAGATCCCATCTACAGGTAGTCCTTGACTTGCCACCATTCGTTTAGTGACTGAAGTTACAGCTGTACTGGAAGATGTGATTTATGACTGTGTTTCACACTGCGACCATTGCAGTATCCTCATGGTCACATGATCATAATTCAGACGCTTGGCAGCTGGCGTGTATTCATGACAGTTGGAGTGTTCTTTTGCGATCTTCTGACAAGCAAAGTCAATGGGGAAGCCAGAGTCACTTAACAACCCTGTTACTAACTTAACAAGTGCAGTGATTCATTTATGAATTGCAAGAAAAAAATAGTAAAATGGGGCAAAACTCACTTAATAACCATCTTGCCTAGCAGCAGAAATTTGGGGCTCAATTGTACTTGTAAGTTGAGGACTACCTGTGTATAGTAGATGTTAAGCGGTCTAGTCCAGAGCATCAAGTGTAATTCAGATTTGAATATGAGTTCATTTGCAGAAGATTCAGGAACATACCCATAGAGACTGTGAAAGATCCTGCATATGTTTTGTAAAAAGCTGTTTATAGGGAAACCAAAGGATGACTATTGAATTTTGATTTGAAAGGAACCTGCTTCTAAGCCTTTATTCAGTAATGAAGCTGAAAGGACTTCAGAAAATGACTTCTCATACTAAAGTTACCCATAAAATAGTTAAAATTAAAAACCCTGCAACACTACTATCTGTTACTCAAGGAACTCATAAAAATCAATAAATAGCAAAAATATCAAACATCCATAAAAGTACCTAACGAAACAAACCATGTTATGGTGTGGGATAATTATGTTGTCATTTTCTCCACCCCTGCCACTGGCAACTATGAAGAGGAAGCAAGCTTGAGAGAATGTCATAGTGTAATAATATCAGATCCCACTTTTGCTATTGTTACAGAACACAGTTGGGGGGGGGTTCCTTTAACATCTGTCTCCAGAATTATACAAACTTGCAAACATTTAACTCCTAAATTTTCACATGCCCTGACATCCGTCTTTGTCTTTTGAACTCTTTTTTGCAGGCAGCTGGATCTTCTGGAAGACGTTGTATGGAACTCTGCTTTAGTAGATAAGTAAATAGATCTCCCTGGTTCATTCTTCATCTGAACCTTTATCAACCATGAATAACCTTCAGAGGTCTCACCATGTCTTGACAGATGTAAACTAAACTGTTCAGAGACATTTCCTGCCATGAACAGAACTGCTTGACAATTACTTTTTAGCATAGAACTACAAGAGATCTGATGCCTGTAGTACGACTATATGGAAAGTTTTCACAGAGGAAGAGACGTCTGTGAAGTTAGAACAGCTGTGGAAAAATGGGAGCACCTGAATTTTAAAAAGCACAGCACTGGATACACTTCATGTGCCTGTACAGCTTTCAAGTGAACTAGTACCTAAGACCTTTGGTGACAAAATGGACTCTGGAGATATAGCTGTAGGGCAAAATGCTACCTCAAGAACCGGAGAAGCAGCAAAAGTATCAAGCAGATGGAGGCAGGAGCATTCAGCAAATGTGAAGATGGATAGCCTGGAAGGTCAGGCACAGATCGATCCAGAACACATGGGAAGCCCTGCGTCGTCTCAGCTCTTTTGTTCTGGGAAAGGGATGTCACCAAACAATGCAACCCAACAAATCGCAGACAAGCAATACCCTCAGCAGCTTCCAAGTCCATACTCCTGTCCACACTCGCTTTCATTTCCACAGCCATCGTTGCCACAAGGTTTCTTGCACAATCTGAAGCCGCGACAGAGCCTGGAAGGCCATAAATGGCAATTTTCTGGCCCTCTGCAGCCAGTTGCCTCTGAGGACTTGTTTCCTTTTCACGTGCATGGCCATAGTGGAAGTTTCTCCAGAAAGAAAGTGTCCAATCTTAACCCTGCTTATAGCCAGTACTCTCAGAAATGTATAGAGCAATCTTCAGAAGATGGTTATAAGAAAGAACATAAACCCAAAAAGCCTGGCAAATACATTTGCCCTTACTGTAGCAGGGCTTGTGCCAAACCTAGTGTACTTAAAAAACATATAAGGTCCCATACGGGGGAACGACCCTACCCTTGTGTCCCTTGTGGTTTTTCATTTAAGACAAAAAGCAATTTATACAAGCACAGGAAATCCCATGCCCATGCAATTAAAGCAGGCTTAGTACCTTTCACAGAATCTGCTGTATCTAAGTTGGACCTAGAGAGCAGTTTCATTGATGTGGAAGCAGAGATACATTCAGATGGGGAGCAGAGTACAGATACAGATGAAGAGACATCGTTACTTGTTGAAAGTGCTGACAAACTGAGCCCAGTTCCACAGATTCCATTGGACATTGCAAGCAGAAGTGGCTTTCATGCATCCATAGAAGAATCCTTGGGAGGCCCAATGAAAGTCCCTATTTTAATTATTCCCAGAAGTGGGGTGTCATTCCCATGTGAAAGCTCCCTGCATGTTGGGACTGACAATCTGCAGAATCCATTAAATACGAAGTCTGATGACTCTCACACAGTTAAGCAACGCCTTGCATTGAGACTGTCTGAGAAGAAAGGACAAGATTCTGACCAGTCATTAAATCTACTGAGCCCACATAGCAAAGGAAGCACTGACTCTGGTTATTTTTCACGCTCGGAAAGCGCGGAACAACAGATAAGTCCACCAAATACCAATGTGAAATCTTATGAAGAAATCATTTTTGGAAAATTCTATAGGATTAATCAAAGGACTGCACAACCATTAGCGACAGCCAATCAAGATTGTAATTCAATGGGTAGAAAAGGCAAGATGGAGCCTCTTATAAATCCTAGATTAGACATTAACTTGTCTGAAGAGAGAATGTCTCCAAATAATGAAGCACTAATTGACTCTGGCAACATGAGCACTATGAAAAATAGCCAGGTTTTTGATGACAGCAGTTTAGAATCCAAACAGTTGCAAATTGTTACATCATCCATCAAAAATGAATCAGGCTTTTATCCAGGAAGTCATCTGGGTGATGCATCTCTGCTTCTGGAACCTTCAGCAGATACAAATCCCCTGATTAGAAGCAACTCCATGCCTACATCATCTGCAACTAATTTGAATGTCCCATCATCTTTAAGAGGAAGCCATTCATTTGATGAGAGAATGACGGGTTCAGATGATGTATTTTATCCTGAAACTATAGGAATACCCCATCAACGAATGTTAATAAGACAGGCAGCCTTTGAACTTCCTTCATTGCAGGAAGGACACTCGGATTCGGAGTATCATGGACGAATGGGGAAGAACATTATGGTTGCTTCCGTTAGATCACCTGTTGGAGAAAAAGGGCTAGGCATGAGAGAAAAGAAATTGCCCGCAGGGGAGAGACATATGTATGAGGGTGACTCTTCTGGAAAGCACTATAGAAAGTGGGAAGACTATGGGATTCTGAAGCAAAGCTTCAGTGGGTCAAAACCAAGTGGGGAATTCTATACTGAATCGCCTACACAGTTACAGGCAATGTCTTCCACATACGGCATTGTATTTGAAAATCGAAAGCGTAGGATCCAAAAAAGTGTTGGAGATGAGGAAGACACACCATCATTATGCAGTGGCGTTAGTGGCAATTCCATGACCGGTGATTTTGACCCTAAATTGCAAATCCAGGATGGACCAAGGAGTAGCTATGCCATACAAAGCCATGATAGCGCTGCTAGTTGTCATTCAGAGCGGTTTGAGATGTGTAGACCCCATTTACAGTCATGCAGTCCAGCCACTAGTTTAGAAGAATGCTCTCCGGCTACTGATCTAGAAAAAGCTGCAGAATCTCTGAGCAGAAAAGGGAATGTAATTTCTGTGATTCAGCATACAAATTCATTGAGTCGGCCCAATTCGTTTGAAAGATCTGAATCTACAGAGCTTGTTACTTGCCAGCAAGAGAAAAGCTATTTGACATCTGAAAGTTGTGAAAGTGAGGTTGTGGAATTCCCCATGAGCCCAGAGAGAGTTCAGCAGACAGAAAATGCCGATGTTGCTAGCAAACAGCCTTCTCCGCTGCAGCCTTTTCAGACATACATGCAGCCGAGGCTGGTTCGTCAGCATAATATACAAGTCCCTGAAATCCGTGTCACCGAGGAGCCGGATAAGCCTGAAAAAGAGAGAGAGGTCCCAGTGAAAGAGCAAGAAAAGCCCGCAGAAGAATTCCAGTGGCCCCAAAGAAGTGAAACCTTGTCCCAGCTCCCAGCCGAAAAGCTACCGCCTAAGAAGAAACGTTTGCGTCTTGCTGACATGGAGCATTCCTCTGGAGAGTCTAGCTTTGAATCCACAGGAACTAGCCTTTCTCGCAGCCCTAGCCAAGAGAGTAATCTGTCTCACAGTTCAAGTTTTTCAATGTCTTTTGAACGGGAGGAGTGTGTCAGGTTCATAACATCGACCAAACAGGATGAATTGGTCAAACAACCTGAATTTTTGACTGTCCCAGCTGGTGCTTACTCTCTTTCTGTCCCTGGACATCACCAACAGAAAGAAATGAGACGGTGCTCATCAGAACAGATGCCCTGTCCTTATCCTGCTGAAATCCCTGAGATACGAAGCAAATCTTTTGATTATGGGAATCTGTCTCATGCTTCTGCAGCAGGAGCACCTCCAGTGGTTTTATCTCCAGCGAGAGAAAGGAAGAAATGCTTTTTAGTTCGCCAGGCTTCTTTCAGCGGCTCCCCAGAGATTTCCCAGGCCGATTCAATTGTGGAACAAAATATAAAGCAAGAGCAAACAGAACATGGACATGCTGGTCTCCGGTCTTCCCAAACTCCTTGGTCTCATTCTTCCTTTTCCCTTCCTTCAGATGACTCCGGGAAGCAAGCTACTGGTTCTTGTTCTCCACGAAGCACTAGTTTATCACCACTTTCCCACCTCTCAGTCCCCCAAGCACCTTATATTCTAAGCAAATACTCAGCAGAACAACAGCATCTATTTGCACTGCAAGAAAAAGTTCCCTTTTTTCCTGTCCACAGTACTATACTGCAGTTCCCCTACCCATCTGTCTGCATGGTTCACTTGCCATCTCAGCCTTTGTGGCCTTCAGAAATTTCACAGACTCCCTTTCCACATCACTTTGTACAGCAGCTTCAAAAATCTTATTGTAAGCAACCTTTCCCAATGGAAAGTCACCCAGGCTGCCATTTGGAATATGCTCAAAAGCATATTCGAAAGAAACCTGATTATGTATGTACTAAAGAGCAACCTTACCAGCGTTACTCAGGAACATCTGGGCAGTATTCTAAAAATGCACTTGCAACTTACCAGCCAGATTGTAGCATTAAATCAACTGATACCTCTTCTGAACAGCAGCTACAAGTGAATTTTGAAACCCAGAATATTGAACCTGTTCACTCATTACCGGGTACCATTGTTCCTGTTAGAATCCAGACCCATGTGCCGTCCTATGGCAGTGTGATGTACACAAGCATTTCCCAGATTCTTGCTCAAAGCAGTAGCCCTGCTATTGTCATCTGCAAAGTAGATGAGACTCTTTCTCAAAGGACATTAGCAACAAGCTCACCCATGCATGGAATAGGGTTTAACATAGCACAGATGTTAAACCAACATGGAGGGCTGGAAAAATATCCCTTGTGGAAAGTACCACAAACTCTGTCACTCAACTTAGACTCTTCTATCCCATTATGTTTGACCTCCAGTTCAGATACTGCCTCTACTCTAGGTGGAAACAAGCGTATGCTTTCACCAGCAAGTAGCTTGGAGCTCTTTATGGAGACCAAACAACAAAAGAGAGTCAAAGAAGAAAAAATGTATGGACAGATTGTTGAGGAACTAAGTGCTGTAGAACTCACTAGTTCAGATATAAAGAAAAGTTTTTCCAGACCACAAAAGCCCCAGCTGGTTAGGCAGAGTTGTACCACTGAGTCAAAAGAAAAGGGGCAGTCTCCTTTGCTCTATTCTCCATTATCATCATCATCATCTCAAGACCTGCCAGCTACCAAACCATCTCCCGCTGAGTCTTCTCCGTTAAACAAGGAGAAGCTTCCCAATTTTGATTCTGCTTCACCTGGGCAAAAATCTAGTGGCACTTCTGAAGGCCGGGAGTCCCCGGAAGAACTGGATGTGGATGAAACATCATCAGATATGTGCCTAAGCCCACAGAGATCTTTGGTATCTTCAGGAGAAAGTCAGATGGAAGACCAATCCAAACCACAAAAATTGCCATTTGGTATGCTGGTACAAATGGCATCTCAACCAAGTGGGAAAGCAGTGACCTCAACAATTCTCCTGACGGATCTTGCTGACATCCAGCAGATTTTAAAATTCCCTAGTTTGCGCACTACCACAACTGTGAGCTGGTGTTTCTTAAACTACACAAAACCCAGTTTTATTCAACAAGCAACCCTAAAATCATCGGTTTATGCTACATGGTGCATTAGTTCATGTAACCCAAACCCATCAGGACTGAGTACAAAGATTACCCTTGCACTCCTACGCTCTAAGCAGAAAAGCAGCAGAGAAATCTACACACTGTCTCCAATGCATAGGCCTGGAACAGGAAAGCTGACGTCATCAAGTGCATGGAAAGAGTTTGCTCAGGTAATCAGCCAATTCTTAAAGATCTGCGTGTTTTGGTTAGAATTTCTATTATACGGAAAGTGCAGTGCAGAGACATTTCAGCATAGTGTTTCTGGAATAGTTTTCCAACATATTAATGAGTTTGTTGTTTCATTCTAAGTGGATTTTTCAAATCTATGAGTAAGGGTTAGTAGGAAAATGGCATCATGATTATGGATTGTTTCTGAAAAAATCTTGTGGGGATTTAACATTTTCCAATTATGTTTTTCAAAGGAAATGATTTCAAAGGTTCTATTTTAGAAGAAGAAATGGCATCATCACTAACTGGCTATAAAGCATAAATATGAAATGTTAAATTTCAAGAGTTTCATAATGTGCCAGTTGTTAACATTAACTGATTTTTCTGCATCTTTCAACACAGTGATATAATTTTTCAGAGTGCAAAATATATTGAATTCTCATAAGTATAACAAATTCTGAACAATAGGAGTGGCCTTACTATTTTATTTTTAAGTTTTTTTTGTTTTTGCACCTGAGTACCCTCAGATAAAATCAATAATCAATCTACACTGTTGGAATTATGCATACCATACAATTGCATATCTGTGCTTTCGCTTTCATTTTCTTATTAGGCCATTGGCTAAAGCAGGCATGTCAAACTGCCGGCCCGCAGGCTGGATGCGTCACTCTGCTGGCAATGGAGAAAAAGTCGCGATACGTCGCGCGACGTCATGGGATGTCGCGAGTTTGACATGCCTGGACTAAAGAAAATGGAGTTAATATTGGACTTGGACATCTAGGTTCAGGCCCCCACTTGATAAAAAATTAATTGAGTGACTTTGGGTCAATCAGTCTGCCTCTGCCTAATCTATCTAAGGGGATTATTGGGAAATTTAAATAAGGGAAAACCACCACATAAACTGTTGGGAAGAAAGTAGGATAAAAATTCAACACTGTAGTTAAAGAATAAATAAAGGACGCTTAAAATAAAATTACATACAGGTTTTTCTCCAAACTTAATATGGGAAGGTGAATCTGCATTTTGCTTCCATAGCCATGGTGTGGCCATCTAACAATTTACAGGAAGATAAGATCTTGGGGGGGGGGGCGGGAACTGGCATTGAATTTTATTTGTCTTTGGTTTAAACCTGGTGGCAATGCTACAGTGTGTGGATACTCATCCCTGCCTCCACAAAAAAAAAGTATGCACTCTAACATCACCTGGGGTTTTCCAATGCATATAAAGTCTATTCTAGTTGAAACTGAAGTATTTGTTTCTGTCCCAGGAGATTGTGGATTTATTTAGCAATGAATAAATTCCTAATACATTGGGTTGGGGAGATCAAAGGTAGTTGGTCATAGTTTGTTGCCACATCACTACCTTTTGAACTATAGGCAGAGAAACTAGTGTGTCTTAACCACACCACCCCTGCTGGGCTGGATGGCTTTGAGGAGACTATGACTTGAAATGCCAATGGTCATCAATTGACTGATTTTGATCGTCTAGTAAGTCTCATTTATCTTTACTTTTTACGTATAACTGGCAACATAATATACTATGTTTACAATATACTGAGGCATTTTTAAAAAAAATTCTTCTGCCTACCTCTTTTATTCCTTGGAAAATCAAAAGACCTAGTAAGTTAATTGGCTTCCCGAGTTTTCAATAAGATGTAAGATCTAATTGTGACTTAAAGCATTTACATTAGTGTGGCACAACACTGTTATTCTGTTTATGCATGTAGTGTTTAGTCTAAGCTTCAAACATTTTCAACAATTAGTGACATTTTCCCCTGCCTTTCTTTTTACAGATGAAACAGGAGCCATTTTTTGTATTTGGCAGCAAGTTTGAAAAGAAAGTCGTGGGGAATGTTATCAAAGAACGAATTAAAGGAGACAGCCATGCTGATAAAGATATTGTAGCCAAACAAACTGAGCCAGTGAGAATTAAAATTTTTGAAGGCGGGTAAGAACAGAAAGATGGAATTGTTGTTTGTTCTGTGTTACTTTTAAAGACAAGTGCTAAAGAATTGTTCTGGGTCCTCATAATTTGCATAATTAATTATGCAAATTATACCAGAATTGATTAGGAGTTAAACAAGGCCCCAATTTGAACCTCATGAAAACTCTGTTTCGAAATCATGAACAAAAAAGAATAAGAGCCGAGGTGGCGCAGCAGTTAGAGTGCAGTACTGCAGGCCACTTTAGCTGACTGTGTTCAGCAGGTCAGCGGTTCAAATCTCACCGGCTCAAGGTTGACTCAGCCTTCCATCCTTCCGGGGTAGGTAAAATGAGGACCAAGATTGTTGGGGGCAATGTAAATATATATATATATATATATATATATATATATATATATATATATATATATATATATATATATATATATACACACACACATTGATTACTGGTGTACACCGCTTAGAGAGTGCTTGCACTTAAAGCGGTATATAAGTCTCATAAATAAATAAATAAATAAGGAATAAATAATCCATGGAACTTCTGCCTTGTCCCATTTTTTGGGAAAAAAAATACATATGACATGTGCTTAATATCGTGTGACTGTACACACTTCATAAAACTTCAAGTATGATGTTGCGTTGGAAACCTCTGAAGTATCTTCAGGGTTTGTCTTTGGTACTTATAAAATGGGTCTTCCGAAAGAATGACACAAAAGTCCTCTTGGGATCGTGCAACTAATGATGGAGCTCTTTGCAATATAAAGGGTTGTTACAGCTGTTTTTATAAGGCTATTACTATTCATTCAGTGGTGATTTCAACAGAATTTGCCCAATCTTCTGAAGATGATCATTGACTTATCACTGAAGAAAGGATACTGTAAAGTCCTCTGAACACTACTGATAGGTAATAAGGTCGTAATTTAACTTCTTGTGCCAGATGAGTAGAAAGGACAATGGAAAAGAACATGGCCAACTGATCAAACTTCTCCAAAGAAGCCCTGGTCAGAGGAAGGGATTGACTTGAATTAAATCTTTCTTCTTTGGGCCAGTCACTGTCTTTCAGCTTAGAAAGAAGATAGTGGCAAAATCACTTCTGAAAAATGTGGCCAGGAAACCTGAATGGATTTGTCTATGCAATCATCAGGGCTCAAAATTGATTTGAAGGTCCATGTTAATTCATTTAAATATTAAGAAAGAAGGCAACATATCAGAATTAGCTTATGTGAATGTTCTCTTTGCATTAAGGAAAAGATATTGGCACAGAAAGAGTGTGTTGAGAGAGCTTTTCCAAATAATCTTGAGCTGTATAATTTGGGCTGAAATATGGATCTTTTTATAGGTTGTAGTTATGACCAGTGTTTCAATACTCACAGAGTTCTTTGGAAGCCAATTGAGTTCAGATATTGCATAGATTAAACCACAGGATTTAAAGTTTGAATTTATCACAGTCATCCACAGGATCAGAGGGCTTTTGAAATAATTTAAGCCAATATTTTAATCAACTGAATTGCATGCAAAAGGTTTATTGAAATCAAGGCAGATTTAGGACACTCATCAGTTTAATAAGCTTAGTAGATGATCTTTTGGATCCTGTATATCAGTGATAAAAGTGGAATAAGATAACAGAACACAGCATGTGGAAAACCACACTTTAAGGGAGATGGACAATAATGTGTCATTAATGTGTGCCACAATTACAAACAGACAAGGCACAAACACCTGTCTGTTCAAAGAACTATATAGCAGCAGCGTAACAGCAATATTTAAACTTGGTCTTCCAAAAGAAAGATTCTTAACTATCCTAGATGTCCAGTTTTTGAGACATATATAAAAATAAACCAAACCAAACTAAACTAAGCCATAATATGATAACAGAAAAAAATAACAACAACATTGCATGTGGTCACATTTTAGTAGTGATAAGGCTAAAGAAAGGTAACACCCCACTACAGGGACATGTGGTAGAGGAAAGCTTGCTGTGTGAGGGATTGTCTACTTGACAGTGTTTCAAGATGATGATGAATTAGAGTAGATGGAGCCAGTAGAGCTCTTAGCCGAAAGACTTCTTTGGATCATGGCCAGGCATGATCTGTATGTCATTTTCATCACTCTTTGTTAATAAAACTAAAATATCTTAAGCTAAAGGGAAACATTAGCGTCGTAGAATAATAGAACAGAAATCCTCTGCTTTGCCAGTCCTGTTCATTATGTGTCCATTCTAAAATTTAGCAGATTCTACAGTATTTTCAATAATGCAGTCTTTTCTCTGGTTAACGATTGTCAGGAGGATCATCCTACTTTAAGGGAAATGGGGATGTACAAGATTGTAGTGAAAGTCATTCACCTGGCCTCCCCTAATAAGATAATTATTGGCCATGTAGACATCCTTTTAGAAGTTGGTTTCCTTGGGGAGGGGGGGAGGAAGAAGAAATCAGTGCAGCTTTTCTAGAGAGAAATAGTGGAAACATCTGCTTTTTTTTTTTTTTTTTTACCTACCAGCTATCATGATTTTTCTGGGATTTCCAAATTTTCAAAGTGTGATCCTTTTACAAAATCTTGGCCTGGAAACATCACATATCCCGAACAGTGTCAGCAATAAATTTAGAGTCTGTTTTGTCTTTTCTTGGTACTAACTTTATCAGTGAGTGATTTAGCATCCTCCTCTTGATAAAAGTCTTAACTTTCTTTTTTTCAGTTGGTTGAGAACAAAGGCAACTTGACAATAGCAAAAAGATGAAATAACCACCAGCAGCCATTTACAGCTGGGTGTTCATTTTGATTCCAGGATCTGGTTTTTGCTTAAATAATAGCTGGAAGCAAAGGAGAGGGATTTGTGGGCAAGTTTAACTATTTTGAGGAAATAAAGGCATTCTGGTCTTCCCCCCCTCCCTCCCTCCCCGGAAGTTATTTGATTGTCTCTCCTTTTGTTTGATTCTGGTCCTGAAGGGTGCAAGCTTACTACTCTCTTACATGGGCATAAGCGTTACTGAAATCAGCTGAATTCACATCTGCATAGAAATGTATAGGATTGCATTGTGCAGTTGGGAGCGTACATAACAACTTATGCAAGCCTTCTTTAGGCAAAAGTATGCTGCTGCAAGTGGCTTTACTAGTGCTTTTTTTTTTTTTTGCAAAAAAAAAAAAAGGTGCCGGAACTCACACATGTCATACAACCCGCCTTGCCTGCCCTACAAGGTTCCATCCAAAAAAAGTGCCGGAACTCCGTTCTGGGCGTTCTGTGACAAAAAAAAAGGCCTGGGTATATTGGACAGCAAGGGAAAACGTCTGGAAGGATAAATTCTTCCATGGCAAAGTTATTCTTTACTTCTCTTTAAGAAGACTGAAAGATATCTGGAGCTGGCATATAGAGGTGTGATGTATGCCATTGATATCCTTGCTGATTTTGGAAATGTCTTTTTATCTACTCTGCCTTTATTTACTCTGCCTTTGGCCCAGTCAGAGTTAGCCTATGATCTTCAAAATCTTTCCCAGAACTGAGTATGAAAGATTCTCTTTCCCTGATATAAATATGGAGTAAACAAAGAAATCATTGTTTGGATATCTGATTTTGTTAATCTGTAGGAGAACGATCCCTTTGGAAATTGAGAGGGAGAATATGTGTGGTGAGGAGGGGTCTTGTGCTGTGTGAGGAATGTTAAAATAATCGTGGCTGTCTTTCTGATCTGGAAATGCTGGAAATTTTAAATTCCATGTCTTTAATGAGGAGTATGCATTGAAAAAGCAAAACAATTTCATTTAGGCAGTTCAGATTGGCACACGTTTGCATATTTTGTATTTGTGACAGTTCTGGCTCAGCAAGAACAAAGGGTCACTGAGCAAAGGTCTATTTCTGTAAGAAGATGCATACAGTGAACATTTGCCAAATGTGTGGTCATAATCAACATGATATTGACATATGAAAGAATTCCCTTGGTTTTGTGTGTGTGTGTGTGTGTGTGTGGAGGGAAGATAGTCGATCTTTTTTGCAAGGAAACAGTAGATAACCATGAACACATACAAAGAAACAGGTTTGTACATAGTCCTGCTCTGCAAATGCACAAATGTATGGAAACTATCTAGAATTTCCTATGGAAAAGTACTGTAATTTTATAGTCCCGCAATAGGGCCTAAGCCTAAAAATACTGACAGGGCTGTTAGCTTTTTAAGAAGGCTTAAAAAAAAAAGTGGGAAGGGAGAAAATTCATTGCCCAGCTTCCTCTAAGTGTTTCTGTTCAGACATAACTCTCTATGTGTGTGCATACATGCCCTTTGAGTCATTGTTAACTCCTGACAACTGCCCGGATTAGTTCATGAAGTTTTCTTCACATTATTTGTGGAAGTGGTTTGCCATTGTCTTCTTCCTAGGGCTAAGACAGAGTGTCTGCCCCAAAGTTGCCTAGTTGGGTTTGAGCTTCAGGAAGAACTAGATCTTTTTTAGCATGATACCTTAACACAGACATGTCAAACACAAGGCCCGGGGGCTGGATGCGGCCCGCGAAGTGGTTTCATGTGGCCCGCAAAGTCATCCTGGAAACAGTGAGGTAACGGCCCCAGCTGCCCTGGCGCTGGCCAGCTGGGAGCCAATGTATAATTTTGTGGTGGCCATCTTGGCACTTGCCCCAGTCCCACCCCCTTCTGCCAGAGACCCTCAGATCTGTCCCACTCCTGCCCAGGCCCCCCCAGGCACCCTTGACGTGAATGATGTAGAACTGGCCATGCCCATCCAGTAGGCCACACCCATTCTGGCCATCCCCACCTGGCCCCCCAAGGGCAACCGCAAGGCTGATGCGGCCCTCAGTGAAATTGAGTTTGACATCCCTGCCTTAACCGGTACCTACACAAGACAACTCTTTTTCCTATTTGAAGGAGTGTCTTAAATTTTGTAGTAGGTTGTTCTGCTTGTAACCCATCTTAGCAATGATTTTGCCTTGAAAAGTAACACTTGTAATACTTCAACGAAATACAATCTTTGTGAATAAAAATGGCCGGGTTGATGTTTCCTATTTCATTCTGACTTTCTTTTAACAGATATAAATCAAATGAGGATTACGTGTATGTCAGGGGACGTGGACGTGGAAAGTATATTTGTGAAGAATGTGGAATCCGTTGCAAGAAACCCAGCATGCTGAAGAAGCATATCCGGACTCATACTGATGTACGGCCTTATATATGCAAGCTGTGTAATTTTGCCTTCAAAACAAAAGGTACCTGCTCAGTTTGTTTGTTTGTTTATTTATTTATTTTGCTGGGCTAATGATGAAATGTCCTCTTGGTGCTCAGACTTCTATCCTTCAAAATGTAAGAGATCCTCACTTATCCATGTCATGGTTGTTCCAAAGATGATTCAACGACTGTCTGCAAGGAGTATAAATCCTGCCATTCCCTACCATCCAGTCAGAGCTGAAGAAGTTTCTTGGATGAGAAGCGAAACATCTTAAAAAAACCAAACAAACAAGAAAGTCCAGTTGCCTTGTGAAAAAAAGTACCTTTGGGACAAGGGAGCTTTTATTTCTGAAAAACGAGACTTCATGAAATATACCACTCCTATTTGAATAAGAGATTCAGGGTTTGATGTGTTTGTCAGGGAGAAAGCCACTCTGTGTAACTACATTAAGAGATACGGGCTTCGACCCAGCCTATCTGTCTGCAGAGGAAATGTAGTGGCATAAAATTACCTTGGCAGTTATTACTTTTCTGCTGAAAATGCTATGGTGCAAATATCAATTACATCAAGGGGGTTGTACATTTGCAGCAGCACATTGCAGCAGTGGAACATTAACTGTGCCAAGTGGAGAATTCCTAAGCTGTCTTTATGATGGGTCAGTTTCACAATTATTAATAATGCACCATTCCACAGACTCTGGGTGGGCTCCTCCCTTCATGCTGACATGAATTATGGATTGAGATATACTAGCATAGGTACATGGGTACTCACTGATACAGGGGAAGAGAAGCAGCTTCCGTTTAGCATCTCTGCAAAACCCTACCAAGCAGTGACCGCAATTGACAGAACTGTGCCTTTAATCAATGCCTTCCTTTTTAAAGAAAATAATGCCATTTGCCTAATTTATAATGATAGAGCCATTGGTGATTTACTCCTGTTTCCAATAACAGAGAGAAATACCTACACTCTGCATATGTAGAGAGGAGAAATCTGCTTAATGTTGCACTACTAATATACAATTCGACCTCTCAACAGCATTTGATATTATAAGTCAACTTTACCAGGGTTAGTACACTCCAGATGTGCTGAGATACTGGGGAATTGTAATCCAACACATCTGGAGGTCATCAGGCTGCAAAAATCTCCTGTAAAAACTGATACTTTCACATGCTTAAAGTGTTACATTGAGACTAAATAGTGTGAAGAATCAGCAAATATCTGTAGGGAGGATAACACAATTAACAGAATTATTTATGAACTCATTTTTTTTCAAATATATCTGATTGTTAATTATATTTCAATAAGAACTTGCAGCCTGTTGTAAAAGTTAATCTAGTTGCACCTCAAGGACTTGCAAATTTATTCTGGAGTAACTTTTCATGTGCTTGTGTGTAAGGAAGTGGAGCTGAGTTTCTGTAAAATCCTGTTCCTCCACATCCCCATTGGCCTGACCCATAGTGATTCATAGTTAACCTACTCTTTGATTATCCCAGTTCTGTGGAATTAATCCTTTGCTTTATTCAGGAGCATAACCTCTTTGATAAGGCCCCACAAATGCCTTTTTTAAAATAGGCTTTTTGGCTGCTGGATTTGCTTGAGTAATATAGTTGTCACCCTTAAAGCTCTATAGAACTTGAGGCCAGGTTATTTGAAGGACTGCTTCTGCCTTATTACTTCTATTCAGCCCAGTAGGATGGGAAGGCAGGGCATGTTATGGATCCCATAGAGCAGTGTTTCTCAACCTTGACAATTTTAAGGCATGTGGACTTCAACTCCCAGAATTCCACAGCCAGCATTGCTGGCTGTGGAATTCTGGGAGTTGAAGTCCACATGCCTTAAAATTGTCAAAGTTGAGAAACACTGCCATAGAGTAAGAAGGGCTACCTGGTGGAACCATGAAAAAGGGCCTTCTCAGTGTTTGTCTTTCTTTATGGGACATAATTTTCCTGCTGACTCTCACATGTTGCTCTTCCAAAAGGCCCTAAAAATGTGGTTTGATCAGTAGGCCTGAGGAAAACGAATAGAGATTGAGCCGATCAAGCTGATTTGAATGCATTGTGGCTGCCATTGGGGGGGAGGAGGAGTGAAGGGTGATTTTTCTTAAGGGTTTTTATTAGATTTAGATTTTTTTTAATGTTGTAAGCTGCCCAGAGTCAGCTACGTTTAAGTTGGGCAAATATATAAATTTGTTTAATAAATAAATAATAAATAAATGCATCTAGTTTTAATATGTCTAACCATAAACTCTGAGAGACCTTTGATAAACTTAATAAATAAAATAATTTACAAGGTTAGATAATAATGCATGCCAAACAATTCTTTGTTGACTATAGTATTTGTTGATTTATTATTCAGTTTATATAGCTGGCCACCTCACTTTCCTCATTCTGGGTGGCTTACAGTTAAGTAATTTAGATATTAGAGGCTTGCAAATGGGAATAACACCTTGTGAAGTTTCTGCCAAGTATTCATGTCCTTTTTGTTCCGTGCATTCAAGGCCAGAGGTCAGAGCAGCAGCTGTTTCTGTTTTTCTTTATTTGGCTAATTTTTTTTATAGTGCAGTCATTTCTTTCTAAAAATGCTTCTACAATACTATCATATCAGTTATAACAGTATCGGGAGTGCTGTTGATTCTGGACCGTTTTAGGGAGGGGCTATGCAGGTGTAAATTTCCGTTGTAGGAAACTGAAAGGACTTTGACTTTCCTAGATCCTTTGAAGCCACATTTAATACTTCCCTTCTTCTTCCCTAACCACTGTTGAAATATAGGTAGTAGAGGAGCAAAAGTGCAAGAGGTTTTCCTTGCCTTGATCAGGAGCTGTGGTGGCAGAGCTCCTTTTTCACCCATTAAAAGGGAGCTCCAAAATACTCTACCTTAGACCAACATATGATAGTCCAAGTGTGCAAACATGGTCAGTCCTAGATTAATCATTTGTTTTCTCCTCTTTCCAAGGTGGGAGGAAGAATATTTATGTCAGATGGTAGAATTGGACTGACATCTTCAATTTTTTTCTTCTTAATGACAGCCTTAGTTAGTTTCACATCTCATTCAGACAATTGGAATGTCTATCCTGTTCCAGCATTTGGTGGTGGGTGATGGTGGTGACGCATTATTAATAATAAAGACAGGGGCATAAAAATAAAATTCAGCTTCAGTAGTCCTGAGGTATTACAGCTGGGCTGTTAAGAGAGGAGAGACGAAGAAAACACATGTATTTCTATGAAATCATTCTTGCTGAAATGACATTTATATAAATTGAATATGTTTTTATCTCTCTGTCCAGTTCACTAATTCTATTTCTAGGAAAAGATGGGAAACCTCTCTTCATAAGAGTCAGTATGAATTCTAAACTGGTGCCGTCTTGTCTGGTTTATCTTTGTGTTTTCTACAGGGAATCTGACAAAGCATATGAAGTCAAAAGCGCACATGAAAAAATGCCTGGAGCTTGGGGTATCAATGACATCAGTGGATGATGCAGAGACTGAAGAAGCAGGTATATGATTGTCTGAGTTGCCGGGATCGTTGCAGTGTACAATGACATTCTGTCACTTAACCGCAAGAAAGGTTCTGTTAAGAATTTAAGTGTTCCTCTTGCTAACATTAAAGCACTGGAAATAATGTTGACTTATTGGTTTGACTCTTACAAAACTTAAAGATTATCTTTATGTCTTCTCACATCTGACTCTATCCCAACCCACTCAGGTCTACAACTGGTTCTAGCACACAATATTCTTAGAGGCTGACATATTTCAAAATGGTGTGAATTTTATTGGCACCGCGCATTGCTGTTATAGTTTGCCTCACTTTACATAAGGTATCTGACATCTCAGCTCTTTCTTTAGCGGGAGAAGAATATTAGCTTAGGTTGACTCAGCCTTCCATCCTTCCGAGGTAGGTAAAATGAGGACCCAGATTGTTGGGGGCAATGTAAATATATATATACATTGCTTACTGGTGTACACCGCTTAGAGAGTGCTTGCACTTAAAGTGGTATATAAGTCTCATAAATAAAATAAATAAATAAAATAAATTTTTTAAAGGTATATTACTGGATAACTACACTAGTACAACTCTGCTTAGATATAACCCCTATCAACTTAATCCCTTGAAGTGGGTATATAGTTGTTAATCAAGTATTTGGGGATCATATAAATGATCAAATGTCATGAAACTTTGGTTGTACTTTGAATTTATTCAATTTTGCAAAGAGTTTCAGAAAGGCATGGAAAGTAAAAAGATTTATGCATTTGATGGTGCAGAGAAGCATCCAGTGTATTTCAGTAATTCTCACGTATTACTGAAAAGCATCTGTCTGTATCATATTACAGTGGGAGCTTTAAGCACAATCAGTAGCTTTATAGGCAAAAAAGTTCTGCAGTCAAGTTCGGTTTTGTGTCCCTGCATATGACTTACTCATTTGTTACATTTATTTCAGAAAATATGGAAGATAACCACCAAGAAATTGAGAAGAACAACTTGACTGGCACATCAGCTGACCATCAGTTCTCTGATGCTGAGGAGTCTGATGGAGAAGATGGAGAAGACAATGATGAGGATGATGAAGATGAGGATGATTTTGATGATGCTCTCGGAGACGCCACACCCAAGACGAGATCTCGAAGCACTAGTCCCCAGCCGCCCCGATTTTCCTCATTATCTGTGAACACTGCTACCACATCTTATGGGGGCTCTCCTGAGAGTTCTGTAGGACATTCCTCCTTGATAAGTTATTTGGTCACTTTACCTAGCATTCAAGTTACTCACCTCTTAACAACAAGTGATTCTTGTGATGATTCACCAATGACAGAATATCAAAGGTTTTTCCAGAATAAAAGTACAGATTCTGAACCTGACAAAGACAGACTTGACATACCTAGCTGCATGGATGATGATTACATGATTTCCTTGGAATCCAACTCATCTCCTAGAGATCTTTCATCATCCAGCCAACAGTCATCCCCTGGGTATGATTCCTCACCATACAGAGATAACTCACCAAAGAGATATTTAATACCCAAAGGAGATCTGTCACCTAGAAGGCATCTATCACCAAGAAGAGAGATTTCACCTATTAGACATCTTTCACCAAGAAAGGAGGCTGTTCTAAGAAGAGAGTTATCACCACGCAGAGATGCTTCCCCAAGACGGCATCTGTCACCACGGAGGCCAGTGTCTCCTGGAAAGGATGCATCTTCTCGAAGAGAACTGTCTCCACGAAGAGAGAGACGATATATGGCCTCAATTAGAGCAGCATCACCCCGAAGAGGCTTATACCATAACCCATCCTTGCCCTTGGGCCAGTATATACAGTCTGAATCACTTCCTCTGGGACATTCGGTAAGTTGAAAGTAATGTGGAAACAGGTCACCTAAAATGATTATCTACAAAATACAAAAAAAAAAAAAACATTTTAACATTCTTTCTTCTATTATGTCAATTGGATTCTGAGTTAATGGAAACTGGACTCTCAGGATTGGCTTAATTGCTAGGATATTGGTTTTGGTTGACAGACAAATCCTTGTATCTTGATGTTAATCAGAGAGACATAAGGCCCGTAAACACTTGTTTTTGCCCAGGTTGTTTGTTTTTTTATTTGCTTCTTCCCTGCTACTGCAGTTTCCTGTCCGGTATCCCAGATCCTTCCTTCCTGTAAGTCTTTTTGGAAGCTTTGATGGAAAGGAGGAGAAATCTACACGGCTGTCTTTTCATTCATGTACAGTTGGACCTTTGTTCTATTTACTTAAATGAAGACTTTTCGTCCTTACATGGATGAAAACTGTAGAATAGAAGTGAACAACCTGGGACCCCAAATGTGTCCTATAATTCATCTTCTTGCGGAAACCTTTGACCAGAATCGCAGATAGTTAGTGAGTATCAATAGCATTGAGGAGAAATTAGAGCCCCAAGGAACCCCATAAAGCAAGAGAAATAAGCTGGAATTCCGCCCTCCAGTACCAACTCTAGCAGCTCACAGAGGAGTGAATACTCCTATTTCAACAACATGCTCCTCTCTTCCACCTCCTAAGCCAGTCCAGAAACATAGCATCAAAAAATGCCGAAAGTTTAAGGAGGGCCAGGATAGATGCACCGACTCGATACTCAAGCCTAAAACCCAACTGAAAAGGGTCTAGGTGATATGTTTCCTCCAGGTCCCTCCAGAGATGCAATCCAATTTCCTTTTCAACAGCCTTCCCTAAAAAGGAAGAAATGTGTAAAGCCCATAGATATGGTGATGGTTTCTTGAAAAGGCAACAGACCATCACTTCCTTAAGAGCAGAATCTTTATTTATTTATTCCTGAAAGATGAATTTACCACTGCTTGGATCCGACCCCATGTCTCCCTCCCAGGATGTCTTGACCGGCCAGAAGAGATTTGGATCTAATATAGAGATGGAATACATATGGAAATAATATCTTTATTTGGCCAGCTGATGACTTAGAAAATAGCGTGTAGGTTTTCAAATGCGTAACTCCTTTGCTTCTTAAAGATAATGTTCACATTGTGATAGAGGTAAACCTAGGGGTCTCTGATCTTCACTATCTTTATTTTTGTTTGGGGCAACCTGCTATATATCAGAGATATTTCATTTCATTAAAAACTTCTTTGTGACAATTTTCCAAATGTTATAACAACATTGGTTAACTGTCCGGAAATTAGGATATATTAGATAGAAACAGTAAGTTCAAATGCTGATATGAATAATTGTATTACTTTTAAAAAACTATATCTGAAATCAGCTGGTTTTTTTTTAGATAAAAATGATTAGATGTATGAATCTGTGCAGTTTCATACCGGTCACCATGTATTTTTTAGAACAAGCATCCCTAGTTTTTTTAAAATTTATTTATACTTAAACCTAAATTCAAAATTCCTTCCTCCCACAAAAGTAGGTGGAAAATAAATTAAAACAGACAAAAATTCAGAGAATGCACTGCTTGTCATACTTGAGTTGCCAACCCTAGCTGCAAAAAATCCTGCAGATTACGACAACCATAACAAAAGTTTGTGCATATATACTTGTTCAAAGATATTTTCACAAACCCTCCTTCCCATAGAAGCATCAAAAAAATGAGAAAGTAACTAGGATGGAAATGGGGTAGGAGATAAAGTAGAACAGCATTGGAAAGGGTGGGAGGAACTGGTAAATAAAAGAGGTAAATAGGAGAGAAAGAAAGGAGAGAGAGAAGCCCGAATTAGACCTAAGAAAAAAGGTTAAAATTCAGCAGGTAAAACAGTGGCTAAATCTGCAGCACTAAGGCTTGTAGATTATTTATTTGGGATATTTATTTACCAGATCTGGCCCATTCTTGTGTTTTTACTGCAGGCAGGGTTTACCCAGGATCTGCAATCTAGCTAAGGTAGAAGGAGTGAACCAGTTGCCTTCCAACATCTGGAACACCAAACCTGCTTCCATCAATTGCTCAATGGTGTACAAGCTGGTTATTAGATAGTTTTGATTTGTATGCTACTGATTATTTGTATTTTTCTTGCTTTTGTAAACTGTCCTTTGGAAAGGGACGATTTATTTATTTATTTACAAATGTCTTTAGGCCACTTAAGTCATTTGACTCTGCGGCTTATAGTAGCAGCATACAGGTAATCCATTCATTTAATGACCATTCAAAATTACAGTGGCACTGAAAAAAGTGACTCATGATCATTGCAGCATTCCCACAGTCACGTGATCAAACTTTGGCAACTGATTGCAGCATCTCAGGATTCTGGGCTTATCATCTGCAATCTTCCTAGAAAGCTTCTGACAAGCATAGTCAATGGGGGGAAGTCAGATTTGCTTAATGACCACATGATCCACTTAACAAATGTTCACTTAACCACCATGGCTAAAAAGTCATAAAATGGGGCACGTCTCACTTAACAATTGTCTTGCTTAACAATGGAAATTTTGGTCTCAATTGTGGTCTTAAATCAAGGGCTACCTGTATGTGATTTTTAATCCTAAGTATAGTTGGTTAAGGTTGTAGGGTTATCAAAGTGCTGTAGGGCAGAGATCCCCAACCTTTTGGCCACCAGGGACCGGTTCCATGGAGAGAGGTTTTTCCACGGACCAGAGGGGGCGTAGTTTTGTGTGCTGCCTACATCTCATGGATGGGGCTTTGCTTGTTTGTGTGGACCGGTTGCTGGCATGCCATGGACCAGTACTGGTCCACAGACCGGGGGTTGGGGGCCCCTGCTGTAGGGAATGAGTGTTTTGCCGAGCCATGGACACGAATGGTGTATTTTCCTTTCTCCGAATCCGGAAACTGTTGCTGACCTTTGTTTTTGTCTGTTTGCAGAATTCAAGAGCAGGATTGTTGGAGGCACCATATTTCAACTTGCCTGGAGAAAAAGGCATTCTGGAGCATTGCATCCCTAACCTGTTTCCTGAGGGCCCTACCGACTACGTCTTTAGTCATCTTCCACTACACTCCCAGCAGCAACTTCGTGCGCCTATCCCTATGATGCCTATAGGGGGCATCCAAATTGTCCATTCGCTACCTGCCGCTCTGTCCGGTTTACACGCTCCATCCATCTGGTCTCTCTCCAAAGAAAGTTCTGAGGAGAACCAGTGGGACTCTGGCACTCCTCCAAAGCATCAGGAGAAACGTGCCCGTCCTCCCTCTTTGCGTACGATGGCTCAGAGCAGTGCATCGACTTCCGAGTTACTGTTGATGAAAAAGAGCACTTCGGAGGAAGGTGTCATGGAGGGGGAGCAGGAAGAAAACATACAGACTTGTACAAAAGCCATAGCCTCTCTCCGTATTGCCACAGAGGAAATCCTCCATGGGACGGAGCAAACGGCAAGGGATTCCGAGCTCTTTCGGAAACCCTTGGAAAGTGCACATTTTAGCATGGAACACTTTAGTGGCTCTGAGCCAGGCCAGATCTGTGCCTCAGCCACCAACCCTGACTTGCACAGCGGTGAAAAGGACCTTTTTGGTACATCACAGCAGACTGTAGTATCTCATTCCACCTTTTACAGCAAAAGCGGTGTGGAGGTCAGACCGTCAGTCTACTCGAGTAGGAAAGATTCAAGCACACAGGAAAAGGAGAGAGTTGCCCTCTGAAAAAAAAAAAAAAGCAAACCACAGTAATCTCCAAGGTGTGAAAACTTGTTGACTCCCCACGTCCCTTCCCCAGTGATAGAAGGAAGTATTTGAATTTATAGCATGCTGGTTCTAAGTTACAGTAGTTTGCAGTATATATACTTTTGTTGTATCAAAAGAATTGAGTAAAACTACAAGTCATCATGAGCCTGACCAAAATGAAATTTCAAAATTCTTATTGGGTCTGGTACTTTTAACCTGTACAGGTGTTTGTGCCTTTTCTTTACTTTTGCTTATATTCTTATAAGCATTTTTTAGCAGTAATTTGTACATATTTTAGAATTTGTGTATCTGCTTTGTAATAAATGTAATTTCTTTCCCGTTTGGGACACTTTGACCTAAATGATGTAAAGCAAAAAACAAAAAAAGCATCAATATATATGTGAGGTTGCACTAAAATATTTTTATATGATTAAAAACTGAACAGCTTTTATGTACAGCTCTGATTCTGTAATACTAATATTTATTTACTTTGTTTCATAAATTGTACATTTTTTCTTAATGTTGCGGGTTGCTTTTTCTATGTGAAGCATGGGATTTACTGTTGCATTATTAGAACAAAAATGTATATTGTAAACAAGATATTTAAACTAGAGTATCTTATCTTATTCTGCACTTATGTATTAGTTAAAAAAAAATAAGATAAAAGGATGTATCAGTCCATTCTTTACTCTTGTAATTTTTTTTTGTCTCTTGTTTGCTGGATCAACTATAACTTAAAAAGTGCTGATTGTGATTTTAAAGAGATAGTACCGTAAAGCATTAAAGTAAAACCATGTGCTATTGTGAGTTTTTTCAAAGCTTTATAAAACAGTTATAAATATATTAAAAGTATTTGGTCTTATGTGAACATGTTGCTATATGCTCCTTTAAAACGAATATGGGAAAACATTCCACCCTGTGTAAATATATGCAACTTCAAAAACTGGTGCAATTTCATATCTATTGTGCGAATGCTTAAAGGGTTCTTCCCATTTCTAGTGAGGGTCAGTGAACAGTGGGATCTTGACTAGAAGACAAGCAAGATTGGATGATAGGACATCACATATCAGTATTGAAGTGTCTTTAAAACAAGAGCAAAGAAATCTGGCATCCTTGGCCTTGATTACAGAGGAATCAAGCTTCTACTCCAGATGAGAAAGCACAGGTTGGTCTGCACAGAGCTTAGATAATCGGCTGGCCCGTCAGCTTGGTAGTCAGTGCTGGGCACTGCATGCAGGAGACAAAGCCATGAAAATGACAGAGGTGGGGGGGTGGGTTTCCATACTGGTTGAGAGCAAAGAACTGAGTCATATTGCCAAGTTATCTCACTTTGGAGGGGTAGGTTGGAAAGGGAATGGAGAGAAATAGTTCACAGCTATTTGGGGCAGACATTTTTCCTTGTGGGAAAAAAATGTCTTTCGTATTGACAGATCTATCTAAAAGAGGAAAGATCAGCAGGCAAAAATCAAGATTTAGGGCATTTATAGCATTCAGTTGTCTTGGGAGAAGTTTGGGAGGAACCATTCCTTACATGTTTAAAGGTATGAAGGACGCCCCCAGATATACACACATCTACCCAAGTCAATGACAACAAAAGAACTGGGTTATTTTCTGTGCTATTTAGTGGATTATAATTCTGTGAAAACACATTTGTATATTGAATTGCAATACATTTAAGGAGTGTTGTTTAAAAAGAAATAAATATACAGTTACATTACAGATCTAGTGTCTAGTTTTCCTGTGGTGTTTTGATTTGCTCCCCACGTTATCAGTGGAAGCTTTGAGCTGTTGTCCCAGATTTGTCATTTTATTTGCAAGAATGCCACCTGGAACTCAGTAGAATTATCTTCAACTAAGGAACTGGACAGCATGTTGCCTAGAGGTGTGTAAACTGATGTTACATTTTGTGAGCACAAAAGCATTTGTAATATATTTCATTTTGCGTATAACAACAAACTGTTGATACTGGCTTTCGGCAATTTTTCAAACTATTACAAAGTTATTGCTGGTATATTTAATATTTATTGCATTTTTTAAAAGAAAAAAAAATCACCTTAGTTCATTTGTTCAGCTCATCCAACCTTCTGAATGTATGCCACTTGACTGAAATAGCTATTAATAGCCAACAACTCAACATAGTTACAGTAATTAATCCTTACCAGCGTCACAGAATCAACGGTCCTCCATGCTGCTGAATTGCAACTTTTCCTAACTCCAATAAAATTGGCTCAATTTAAGGAATGCTTAGAATGAATTTCAGCATTGCAATAGCAAATCATGTATAGAGAAAATAAGAACAATTCCATGTGGAAAAATCACTCCAAGATATGGAAAACAAATGTGGATGTCAACATTGCAGCACTTTTTGCTTCATTGCTGTTTTAGCATATACACAGCCAAAGCAAGCATTAAGAGGTGCAATTCAGAATCATTTGAAATTCCAATACGCATTTCTGTATACAATTGAGCATAAATTTAAACCAACAAGACACTTGATTCTTTGTAGCATATTTAGGTAAGCAAAGTAGCACATAGATTTATATACCGCTTCACAGTGCTTTACAGCCCTGTCTAAGCAGTTTAAAGAGTCAGCATATTGCCCCCAACAATCTGAGTCCTCGTTTTACCGATCTTGGAAGGATGGAAGGTTGAGTCAACCTTGAGCCAGTGAGAATCGAACTGCTGGCAGCCAGCAGTCAGCGGAAGTAGCCTGCAGTATTGCATTCTAACCACTGCACCCCATGGCTTTTGATACCATATTGAGCTACTTGAGTCAACCTTGCTTCCTAAACAGCAGTCTCTTCAATCTGATTGCTATATAGCATTCACCTTTTCTTTTCGTATTACAATGCCGTTTAGAAAACATTCCTTGGATCACTGATACATGGTAAAGAGCTACTATCACATGACTTTTCCCACAGATTATTCTATGAGCATAACCCAGTAATAAACTACCTTCCATTCCAGGTGACACCTGGAAAATAGATGACTAATACATTTTTGACTCCTGGCAAAAAATGATCTATGAAATTTATTTGCTGATATGATTATAACCATCTCTAATGCAACAGCAGTTCATTAAAAATAACTTCAGGAATTCAACTCTGGCCTAACAGTCACTTTTAAAAAAATCTGCAATAGCTGCATTAATATTCTGTTTATAAGCATATCTCCAATATTTTAGAAATTACCCTTGAACATAGCACCTTTATATGTCTAGGAATTATTATATTGATAAATTTAAACTTTTCATAACTATTGACAGTTATGATCCTGTCTGGAACATGAATGTTATGAAAAGATAGAACAAGTATAACTTAGACATACTGTGTAGCAGCAATTTAAATGATGTTTTTTCCAAATTTTTCTTGATAAAATTCTTACCGTTTAGCAAAAAACAGTTCTTATTAATTTTCTTTAAATCAACATACATTTTATATTTACCTCAAAATAAAAGGATGGTCAGAACTTGTTTAAGAATATGTTGTTAAGCAGTCAGCACAGCTTATTCCTTTTATAATGGAAGATCCAATAAAGGTACAGATCAAGATGGAAAATATCCAGTTCTTAGGCCAGAATTTAAATCTACCCTTTTTTCAGGTATTAGAGCAGAGGGAACATACATACATATATCAGCTCAAGGTTGCTAAGAAGTGTTGGGCTGATTCAACCCCGAAGCATCTTTTCTTGGTAGCTGAAGAAGTTGGAGTTGAGTTGCTCTGATCTGTGTTCTGGTCCCATCATTTGACTGGTTTCTGCCTCCACTTCTTTTTAAGTGAATTCTAGGTGGACCGCAAATCAGATATAGGATACGCAGCATTCTAAGTAAACAACAACATTCAATAATTTGTACCTTGCATTGTTGAACTGAACTTGTGTGTCTATTCTATGCATATCCTAATAATGATTTTATCCATTTCTAAGTGATTCTGAAATACAAACCAGGGACCAGAGACAATAGATTTGAGCCTACCCACTTCTGTTTTGTATGTTTATGCTTGTACTAGTAAATTATTCCTGAATTGTACATAAAAACCAACTAGAAGGCTTCAATTTTGTAAACAGAAATCTTTTCTTTGAACTTTTAAACTATGTAACTAAAGTTGATGGTTTGTGGTCACATGGCACTTATACTCCATTTAGTATACACTGCATATCAATAAGTAAATCTAGATCAGGGGTAGGCAACCTTGGCTCTTTTATGACTCTGGGACTTCAAGTCCCAGAATTCCTGAGCCAGCAGGGGTAGGCAACCTTGGCTCTTTTATGACTCGGGGACTTCAACTCCCAGAATTTCTGAGCCAGCATCGCTAGCTCAGGAATTCTGGGAGTTGAAATCCCCGAGTCATAAAAGAGCCAAAGTTGCCTAACCCTGATCTAGAGGTACTGTTCTTGCCTTTTCTCAAATATGCTCATTATTTATAAAAAAACAAACACTGTTTCTAGGATTTCAGACTTCATGAAAAAGAGAAAGGCCTATGAACTTACAGCTCTTTCTAATATTTGCATTCTCAAATGCAACATTGCATTCTAAAAAAAACCCCCCACTATATGGTTAAACTTAAAATACTTAAAATATAACATATAAAGGTTATCAAACATGAAAGATATCACCATATCATATCAATAGATACCACCTGTCCAACTTCCAGTTTGGAACAAACATTGAATATCCATGAAATGCTTGGGCAGATTATTGCAACTTGCAGACTATTGCAATTTGCACCATTTGGTTCTTCTGCTCCATCTTTCCCTAAAACTTTTAGGGAAGTTTTAGAAGATATCATACTGAAAGCAACAAAATAAATGCTGCTGGATTCTGTCTATTTGAATCAAAAGGATTACATTGTAGGTTATGTAAGGGTAACACAGTTCTGATAATATTCAGTTATTTGAATCTTGCTAACCCTGTAGAAATCAAGTCTGAAATAGGCACACAATTATTGGAAGAACAAGCAGCAGTCTAAAGAGCAAAACACTTTTAGCAGCTTTTCTTTCATGAAATAAATGATTCATCTGATTTTGGACAGAACAAATGGCTACGTAGAAAAACTACAACAACTGCAGCAATTTATACGGAGGCTTAGAAGAGAGTGAGTCTGCCTTACTGGATACAGGATTCTCTCCTTGGCTGAGAGGGGAGATGAAGACACAGAAGTCCAGAGAAAAATTCAGCTAAACAAATTGAGACATTGGGGATAGGAAGGCACATAACTATAGGTCTGGTACATAATTATTCAGAAGACAAACCTAGGCAAAAGGAGAACAGTGTGGTGTTCACTTTTCATAGCACCAATGACAATCTCTTTTATTCATCACTCTTTTTCTAGTGAGAGGGAAAGAACCTAGAGCCCCAGTTAGGTCCACAGTGAATAAGATCTTATAAAATAAGGTGGCCCTTGTTTACTGATTACCTTTTTAGCAACCATTTAATCCTTGCATCCTGATATTCACAGTTCTGTAAGGCAAAGGAAAGTGAAACAAGATTATAAGCATTGTGGTTTCACTTCACTTTGCTTGCCTGTCAATTTGCCAGTCCCAGTTGTGACCACTAAACAAGGACTACTTGTACAGTAAATTCAAACAATTAATGCCTGAAAGTAGCATCAAAATCAAAATTTTGTTACATATGAAAGGTACAGGAAGAAAGATGACTGTTTAAGTCAAGATGTAAAAAAAAGGAGGGGATCTTCCTTTCCTCCAACTGTCTCCCCAGAAAACGCCTGTCTCTTGTGCTTGTATATTTGTTTGTTTGGCATATCTGTACCCCAGGGCAACTGGCAGAATCAGGATTTAAGGCTTTTACAGAAAGCCAAGTATATGTGTGTGTGGGGGGGCTGATTTCATTTTGAGGGGTATGATGTTCCAGAGGGTGGACACTGTGGCAGAAAAGGCTCTTCTCTTGGACCCCATCAGCCAAAATTCCTTGGCTGATGGGATCTGCAACATGCTCTTTCTGTGATCGAGTGGCATGGGTCAATCCCATTGGGGTGAGGCAGGTGTTGTTTAAGGTGCTTTATGTATTAATTATGACATACTTTATGTATTAGTGCTGCTGTGCAGGTTCTGTGGTTTTGCTTGATAAAAAAATACAGGAAACCAAAAGTTGCCTGTAAGTTTTACATTTCTATTCAGCTGAACAAAGACGGGCTCCTCTAAAAGAGCAAGAAATGACAAGAAATCCTTGTATTTATTCTTTCTGATTACATAAGCAATCCACCCACAAAAGATAAAAATTTCACCCAGTAAGTCTGACACACTGTAGATAAGGGAGAAAGCAGAAGTAGCTAAAAATGTTCCCTTTTGGGTGTTTCCCAAAGACATCGTACGTCCCGGGTGGGTTAGGACATTGGGTGTTTTCCTTGCTGTCCTTTGATGACCCTGCATCCATGACTCTGCAAGTGCCCAAACACAGCAGGGCCATCTGCACATAATCACAATTGATACTTCCTATGTTGTCTCCTAATTCCGGGTCAACAGTGCTTGCATCTTTTCTCTCATTCTCTCTTTCCAAACATCCAATGAAATGTTTCCATCTGAAGCCATATCCAATCAGCTATTGCTGAAATATAGAATGATAAATACAGTATATTCAGAAAGTAGCTTGCTCCCCACCTCCCATATCTAAGCTCCCACACATTTTCCCTTCAGATTCATGGTCTGTTTCCTTCACCTGTATCCAAAGCATTTATTTTCACATCAAATCCTTTACATATAAT